AGACAACATAATTAAAATCTATAAAACATACAATAATTGAATATGCCTGTCCAGCATGGGTAAACACAGCAACTACAAATATTACAAAATACATTACTCACCACAGTATACAAAGTACCAAGATCTATCTCCTCAAAATTCATGCATAAATATGCAAATATACAAACAATGTTTGATGGACTTCTACATAATACTCTAAATTATTTTGCAAAAAACTTGGAGAAAAAAAAGATTAATGTGTGAACTAGACCACTTCTGTATATGTGCTGGACCTAAGCATCTCTTATATTAAAAAATATAAAAATTTAATAAGGCCACCAAATGCTAGACTTAAAAACCCATGTTAGTTTTAATCTATGAAGAGAGCATTGAAAGGGTATATGTAAATGCTCTCTAATTAGAATGACTAATGAAATGTGATAATATATATGAACTGTGTAGTACTTTGCAATGAATGAACTAAGAGAAAGTATGTTATTCACATGAATATAAATCTAAGTACCTACATGCCCCTTGTGTAGTATTTATATCAGTATTCAATGGAAGCAAATAATATCTAACAGGGGGGTGAGGAAGAGGTCACATGTACCTGACCCTCCTAAATCTTGATGGATGGAAGTGAAAATGTAAAATGAGCTCTTTCAATTGACTATACACATAGATATGTAACATCTACATTTAGGCTCAAACAAATCTGTTGAAGGTGGGTGTGGCACCTGTTAGGGGTTGAAAAAAATTTATTACTTGTTTTAACTGTATGTATTCAGAGAACTTTGAAATGTGAACGTCAAAAAGTTATGTAAACATCTTATTGTCTTAATGTACCTTTACTTAACTATCATTGTATTATTGAAGATACAGAGAGAATTTTCATAGCTTATTGGTCACCTGACAATACATCTGAAGTTTTAAATAGTTTTTGAAAGGTTTATTTTGAAATAAAGGACTTAAACTTAGATAAAATAAAACTTTGAATCGTAACATACATTATAATATTAATTTCATTCACATATGTAGATAGTAAAGGTGCTTAATTAAATTTTGAATGTAACACAGTGACTTGCACAGAAAATCACTTAAAGGGGCACCTATTGTGAAAGGTTTACGTCATTTTACTATCTGTTGTATCAAATTTCATTTTGCCAACAATATGCCTATGTTGGGCTATGTTTGCATTACAGATATGGTTTAACTGAATAATTACTGTCACTAGTATTGCAGATATATTAAACTGAAGTATTACAGATCACAATAGTTTAGCTGAAAGATCATTCTCACTGGTATTGCAGACAGTTTAACCAAGCAATTACTATCCTAATATTATTGATAAAGATAGCTATAGGATCACTATTCTAGATCAGAGATAAAATGGTTTAGCTGAAAGATCATTGTCACTAGTATTATGAAGTTTGTTTAACTGAAGGGTTAATTCTAGTATTACAGTTAAATATTGATTAACTGAAGGGTTAATCCTAGTATTACAGGTCGAATAGTTTAAAAGAATGATTATTGTTAGTTTTACTGATAGTTAACTCTCGTGTTAAGATGGGTCCAGTCTGTCTTAAATAAAATGGTAGTCATTTTTCTGCGCATTAAAAGAAAATGTTTCAAAATTTAAATACATCCTAGAAAAAAAGTTGTATGTTGAAATTTATACAAAAGCAAAAAAATATAAATTTTGATCTTGGGTTGATTTGAGATGCTCTTAGGGAAATGATTTGTGTTTGTGAATTTGCTAAATTTTTTCTGAGCAGAAGAGCTTTGAACACAATAATAATAATTTCTTCTTGTAACTTGAATAAAAGGTAGTTTTATTGATATCACCCAATCACCATTTCTCAACCTCAGTTCTAATGGTGTGATGCTGTTGCATATATCTCAGCATTTGATAACTTATCAAAGCATGTCATGAATGCTTTTTTTTTCATTATTTTCCAAATGTAAAAGCTAAAAAGGCTTTCATTCCAGCAGGAATTTGCATGAAGGTTGAAACAAAGTGATAAAAACTTTAATAGCTTGGTTATTTGTTGCTATAAAGAAAAAGTACTTTGAACAACTGCTATAGTTACAACCCCGATAATTGTGTAAATCTTGCAAAAAAGACATGCTTTATTTGAATTTTTGATGTTACAGTATGATAGGAAATTTTTTTTGTGGAACAAGATGAGGTAGATTTAATTAAATCATTTTACACTTGACCATATCAAATTTCTTATCACCACAAAGGCTGCTTTGTTAAACCAAATTTGCACACTGACAAGTAGTTTAAAAAATTTGGATTTTGTTTAACTTTTGTATGGGAAATAAAATGTTATTTTTATTGTATGCCAATGATCGATGTAACACTGTGCTGTGTCAATTAAAACAAGGATAAAATTTATAGTTGTTTAAAACAATCTTTATAGCAAAGCTTTACAAGAATGTAGGAAAACATAAAAATCAGTAATTGAAATCAACAACAAAGCATCTGTAATTGTTTCTTTATAAAAAAACATCATAATAAAGTATTTGTAGTTTTAAAAGCTATGAATTTATAAAAATATTATAATTAACACGTTTAAATAATTTTTCATGACATTTGTTTCATGCTGTGAAATTAAGTTTGAACAATTTGACATTATTCAAAGCAAAAGATGAAGATCATTAAGATTTGAAGAGGTTCTAGTCATTAAGACTTTCCAGCCTGCAGTGAATGTTGTGGAGATTTCTTTCAACATGTTAATTAGAATACAATTTTTTTGGAAAACATTTACCCCCCTCCCCGTATATATATACAGCGTGGTCACAAGTAAATAGACACCACCTTTTTTTAGAAAAAATGAAATTTTTCAGTCATATTCACGTGAATTGATATATTTGTAATTTAATTAATATTTAGTAGATCTTTCTTCCTTTCACTTCGTGG